CTAACTTCTCCATCCCCTATTTTAGGCCTCTCTCATCCGCATTATCCTATTTAGCCCTTCAAACGGATCAATTGATTACATTGGCGATCTTCTCTTAGGGACCATTTAGGGACAGCAGCTTGTCCACTTGCTTTCACAAGATTTTTGACACTTGGCCAGTACGATAAAACCGTCCACGTGACATATACACATATAAAGATCGCCAGCAGGCTGACCACCAGCACCGGTCAAAGTAATAAAATAAGCTGTCAACTGCACAATTTGAGAACCAAGTCATGAATCAACAGCTATCAAACATTATATACATGTAATATATGCATCTATTAATGTGAGTGCCTGTTTATCAAAAACTGGCTTCTCGGAATGGCAGGCTCAAGAATTACACGACCGACTAGAGTCGCGTTCCTGTTTAACCCATCACAAGTCACAGAGAGCAGTAAAAGCGAGGTGATTTAGGGCTCTTAGCACTTACGGTTCTTCAGCACCATACATGGAAGGCAGAATGATAAATCTGGTATTACCACTGACGTCCAATAAATGACCTTCCAAATAACCATCGGTGGGCTATAACAAAGACTGCTTACTGCAAAGCCGAAAAGCAAAAAAAAATAAACAGTTAGAAACTCATCCACCAAATAACATAGCACTTGTAGAAGGGCCCATGAAAAAAGCAGTCAAATTATCCTTCCCAGACGAATCACTTGGCTCCTTCCATCTCACATAGGGCTTGAAATATGAAAACGGCCTAACCTGATTATAAATAAATCCGTAGTGAGAACCCAGGATTTTGTCGAGGGCATCGCAAAAAAGATTTCTTTTACAAAGAATATGGGCTGGAGGAAACCAAACTTCTTAATTATGCTCCCTAGATTCTTCGAATCGTGATGTTTTATCCATTACAACTCAGCCCCGTGCTCCACTCAGCAGCTGGAGCATTTACATCTATGTGTGTTTCACTCATATATATATACATACATACATATATATATATATATATATATATATATATATGTGCACACATACACATACTAATGCCACTCTATAGTTTCTAACACTGCTATAGCATGCAGCACAGATTTTCTGATTTTTGTCGGCTGTTCATGGGTATCCACAATAAACAGTATTATGGTATTTAACCGTGAACTAGGGATGGCAATGTTCGAAGGAAATTGCTGCTACTTAACAATCACTAGCGATACCTCAAAACTGCTAAAATCTTGCTAAGTGCTTCGTCGAGAGCTGGGATGGCTATTTCTTTATGACGCCAAATAGACCACCAATAGGATGAACTACCAGTTAATGCAGCGTTGATCAAAACAACTATGGGAAAGGTGTAGCTGAAC